ATTATAGATGTAATATAGATAATAACAATATTATATAAAAATAATTAAAATTACCAAAATTATTAAAGATAATAATTAACTTTGCATCTATCGAATATATATATAAGACACATTACATCATGTTTAGTAAAAATTAAACGAAATAAAAGAATAATGTATTTAAAAGATATTGTATACTAAAAAATAAAATCTATATTTTCTATATCTCATCCGTAATATAGATAATATTATTATCTTTAATAATTTATATTAAAGAATAAAAGCATCTAATTCTCTTATTTTTTTATTTCCTATTAAAGAAAAAATATAATATGCCCTATTCGATGAATACATAATTAATTATGAGAAAATTAAATGTGAGAATGAAAGTATTAAATTCCTTCGTTTCGTTCATTTTTTAATAAAAAAAAATGTAACACGTCCAATTCGATAAGAAAACGATTTCCGCTCGCGAGGCTTTAAGCCGCAGCGTTCCGAAAGTATTCTCCGCGGCTCGTTCGGAATTACTTTATACATAGAAACGAACGAACGTTTTCCCGTGAGTTGTGCGAACACGTTGCCGCATCAATCCCAAACCGCATTTACCTTCCGAGCGGTGTTTTCCCTTGTACCGGTGTATTTATCGCGAACGCAGCGGGCAAGTGAAAGGAAAAAAAATGGAGGCAACATTACATTCTTCCAGGCCATTAATTTCTTACAGAAGGCGCAACAGTAAAACGACGTATGAGAGAGCGCAAACAAGAGCACGATGCGCCCGGCACAAATTGCGCGTGTGTACGCGCCGCCTCTGCCACCGCCGCGGCGCGTTTTTATTTTTCTAGAACGACAAGCTCTATCCCGAACGCCGGTCGATAGAAAGTTTCTTGCAACGTCGGCGTCGTGATTGATTAATAATGTCAGCGCTGCTCGAGGTTGATAAGTGATCCAGGAACAAATAAGATGTCGTCGCGCCCGAAGAATGGACGCGTCGATCTTTCATTCTTCTACATTTCTGCGGACAATTCTGAATACCGCGATCTACGGGGTGTCCCGAAATTATCGTACCAGCGAGAAGCGAGAGGTTCCCGAGGTCATTCCAAGCAACTTTTTCCTCAGCGAGAATGCGATCCGCGACTTCGTTTACGAGTTATTAACGGAAAATGATGGCCAATGAGAGGTGAGATCAGCCAGCGGCCGAGCCAATCAGCGGCCGAAGCGCAGTTCCGCTCGTTGGCTCTGCCGCCTCGCGCCAGCCGTGCTCGTGATAACTCGTAAACGAAGCCGCGGATGCATTTACGCGAAGGAAAAAGTTGTGTGTTATGTGATTTATGTGTGCGACGAGTGACTTTTTGGACACCCTGTATTTAAGTATAAATATTTAATTTGTCATAGAACAGGTTAACAAAATACTGCTACAGTGATTGCTGCAGTGATAACCTAGAAATTCGGTCCATTTTCACTTGTAAAACGTGACAATTGTACAATAAATTATTAAAACGCATATATAGACATGTAGTCCAATACTCCCTTATTTAATATATAACAACGATTTATTTAATATAGAACAAGACTTTCAATCATTATTAACAAATTAAATCAAATTTGTCGTTACGCGTAGAACGTAGGCCGTCGGTAAAAATCGTGCACTGTCGGTAACACCGTAAGACCGGCGAATTCCCGACTTCGTTTCGTTTAACAATGCTCGGAAATAATAAAAGTATAGTTCGGTTATTGTAGTCGCGTCGTCAGTGCGTTGCGCGGCCTGTTTTCCAAAAAACAAAGAAAATCCGACGAACTACGTCAGCGAAGCGTGAATCTCTACTTTATCATTATAAAAATGGAAAATGTCGTAACGAAATCGGTGAAATCGTTGATCGAAGTAAAAGTACAATCCACGGAATTATAAAACGCCAGGAAGAAAAGGATCGAACATCGAATAAAGTCGGACACAAAGGTCTGACGAGAAACCGAATGCAACGAACGAGCGACGACGGATTATTCGAAAAAGTGCTCCGAAATTGGCAACGATGTTCGGATAGAATCGGTCGAGGGGGCGTGGAGCAGATGGTAAACGGTTGGGCGCCGTGATCGATCAGGGTTCGGGGATCCATCCTCTGGCCACGGGGCTTATTCCGTTCACAGCGACAACGAATTCGACCGCGTGTACGCGGCTGATTTATTCGCGGCCAGGTGTAACCCGTGTAATGCCGGTGTAATACCTGGCGGAGGCTGTGCCGTCAAGAAGCTAGCCCGTTTCCGCGGCAGATCTGGCCAGCGTGACCGGAATCAGAAGACGCGGGGAGTCGAGCTGTGCCGAGGGGAGCCGAGCGGGGCCGAGCGGAGCAGCGCCGGGTGTCGAGCGTGAGAGAGAGTTCGGGTCGTACATGGCTGCGCTATGTGTTCTTGCCCCGCCCGCGTATCATTGGTCTAGAACGTGGAAAAGGCACGTAGGATTCTACTTGAAGAAATATTGCTGCGAAGGCGGAATACACAATGGCCCGGCATCCTGCACACTGCGCACGAATGTTTTTCTTTCCGCCCTAACCCCCAGCCTCTCTCGGCGTCCACCTTCCCGGGCCCCCCGCGCCGCGCCACCCCCTCCTAATACGATTCAGATTCCTCGATGCGGCAGCACGTTCCTCCTTATGAGCCGATCGACTTCGGGGCCGAGCTGGCTCGTTCAGACACTCCTCGTTCTCGCTCGAATGTTGCCCCGTTGATGGAACACACACGGCACAGGCGGACGAGCATCTTTTCCTAGAAGAATCGCTCGAGCCCCGTTACGCTAACGCGGGAAACCCATTTGCCGGTTGCATCATATTCTCAGACCGTAGATGTTTCGCCGACGCTGCCGATTCTTGGACGGACAGGTTGCTGGGTGGCAACTACGGCGTGAGTCACGTTTTCTTAATAACCTTACCGTGAGAAACGATTTTGTGTTATTTTATGTGTGTCTGTTTTAAACGCGTTTATCGTTTACCGATCAAATTTATCTATCGTTAAGATAATTAGAGTTTGGTTAGGTTATTGATCAGAGTTTTGTTAGTTTCGTTGATTTAGATGATTTAGATGATTTTTCGTTCATTTATTTTGCTTATTTTTTTTTAACATATTGCTCTGTATACATAGGATTACATTTGAAGATATAAGTAAATAGTTTGGAGAATGGGACTTAGGTTACTCTGATCGCATTATGTTCGGCACGATCACTGTCAAAACCTTTTTAAAGGTATCTGTTGTAGATATCAACGTCTCTTTTTTTAAATAAATAAATAATGACAAGTAAAACGTAAGAATAAATAAGAAATAATAAGCAAAAAATAAGAACAGGTAAGGAATGAGAATAAGTAAAAAATTAGAATAGGCAAATAATAAGAATTAGTAAAAGTAAGAACAGGTAAAAAAAGAATAGGAATAAGTAAAAGACAAGAATAGGTAAATAATAAGAATAAGTAAGAAATAAGAATAAATAAAGAATAACAATAAGTAAGAAACAAGAATAGATAAAGAATAATAAGTAAAAGATAAGAATAGGTAAAGTATAAGAAAAAGATAAGAATAGTTAAAGAATAAGAAAAAGATAAGAATAGTTAAAGAATAAGAAAAAGATAAGAATAAAAATAGATAAAGAATAATAATAAGAAGAAGAAGATAAGAATAGGTAAAGAATAAGAATAGGTAAAGAATAATAGTAAGAAGAAGATAAGAATAGGAATAAGTAAAAATATAAGAATAATTAAAAATTAAGTATGAAAAGCGTGTAAAAGGTATACGAAAGTANAATAAGAAAAAGATAAGAATAGTTAAAGAATAAGAAAAAGATAAGAATAAGAATAGATAAAGAATAATAATAAGAAGAAGAAGATAAGAATAGGTAAAGAATAAGAATAGGTAAAGAATAATAGTAAGAAGAAGATAAGAATAGGAATAAGTAAAAATATAAGAATAATTAAAAATTAAGTATGAAAAGCGTGTAAAAGGTATACGAAAGTATGGGAAATCCAACGATTTGAAAAATCTAGGGTTTAGGAAAACGGGCTTGAAGTTTCACGCTCTGTTCGGTCATAACACAGATTTTAATCGGGTCAGCTTGGAACTTTCGTGACGTAAATGTCTTCTTACATGGGCGGAAGCGCAGATGAGATTTCTCGGGGATTGTCTCAACTTTTTCGGATAAAATGTAGCGTTTTCCTTATCGCCGCGCGATAACCGGCGTCGACGTGAAATTTCGGCTCTCTTTTTCTCTCTCTCTCTCTCTCTCTCTCTACGGTCGCCGTGAGGTCGGTCACTCCGGGGTCAAGCATAATAAGAAAATAATGTCTCTCGCACGAAACAAGTTGGCCAAAAGTAACCGTATAATAACGTCTTCCTCCGTGAATTCGTATTGAAGTTCACTTTTCGCTCAACGACGAAACAAAATTCCACGTAACTTGAACGAACGGGGACGTCGATAAATGAACAAGACACCGAGCGAAAAATCGATTGAAAGCTGTTTTTTTCAAAAGTTTGTTATAGGTTAAATACAATTTTTAACACGATTTATACAATTTTATGATTTTCAACGTTTAGATACCGTTCTGAATAAATTTATTCATAAAATTCTATCGGATCCTCTCAAAGTTT